CAACACTACCTTCGGTAAGCTTTCCTGGAAATTGGCTCGAGGGAGGTGAAATGGATCTCATGTTTTACCAGAAACGGACCATATTTCACATTATGGACCGTTGTATTCGCCTGGCAGCAGGCCAAGAGATTTCCGACAGAGAACGTGACACTATACTCGACGCCTACCACTATTGCTGGATTGCCTATCATGGACCCTTCAAAGTCTTGTACTCAGATGGAGAAGGCGCCCTGAATAATGACACTGCCAAGGCCATGATGGCGAACAAGGGTACAACACTCCGTATCCGAGCGCCGAGCCAACACGCGACGTCGATCGAGTCACGTAACGGTATTCTCAGGGGCGTTCTCCACATGATTGAGGAAGAGCTGAACAGACACAACATCTCTGATGTATTCACTAGAGTATTGGCTGAAGGCATCTTCGTCACTACCGCCTTCACGTTTTACAACGGAGTATCGCCATACCAAGCACGCACTGGACGACAGCCCTCCTTTCTTCCTGACCACGACACCTTCGATTTCCCTAAGGGGCCCGAGACGCCAGGTCACGAACGAGAACGTCGTGTGATGGAAGTTAGCCTAGAAGCAATATCCCAAGCCACGGCTGTGGCCAAGACAAATCGTGCTCTCAGGGCTAAAACGGCTCCAGATGGTGCTCGCCTTTACTCAGCAGGGGATCTGGTTGACTACCATCGACCTACTGCCACTAAGGACGATCATGGAGGCTGGAATGGCCCATTTCCTGTGATCCGTAACGTGCCTGAAAGAGGACACATCGTCGTCAAGGCAGGATCTCGTGAGGTAATTGTAATGCATCCTGATGCTCGACACACGCTATACATTGAATGCCTCCTTACACGGGAACTTGGCATGGGCAACATGGCCATGCAAACCGTCCTTACATATGTGGCACACCTTGGTGCAGGGAAACCTGCCGAAGTCTTCGGCTACAGTCCAGACTATAGGGGGGGCCTCAATCTTTCAGACGACAGCAAGTTTCACCCTCGCGTACATCTTGCACTACAGTATCGCGTGCGAAATTATTTCCGAGTTGAACATGTAGTAGCAGTTAGACTGGCCAAAAGTGTGTCCTATCTACCTGCAGTAAAGTACGCCACCGGGTCTACGCTGATCCACTGCGATAACGACGTCAACCCAGCCTTCCACTATTATGAGTGTGTGGGCACTGGCCTGAACATTTCTCAAATCATTGGTAGCACTCACTCCAGACTCATCCAATGCTTGACATCACATGTTCCGTCCTTAGGATTTCATGACGACCTGGCCAAGTATCAGCACTCGGGCACCACGTCTGGAGAACACGACCCGCCTGGAAACAGGCCTCCACCAGACACCCCAGGTGCTCCATCACCAAGTGAAGGCCGTCTGTCTACAATCTACGAAGAAACGAGGAACATGATATAGAAGCCATGATGCTGGAGGAGTGGTATGATGAGTTACGTATGGACCTTCATCCCACGACGATCACCGACGATCATCTTTACTGCGTCCCAACAACTATGCTGCCCGACCGATGTGTTTTGGTTTCAGCATCCGTGGACGAAGAAGATATCGTAGGGTCGGAAACGCTCGGAGACGAGCCTGAACCACAAGAGCCCTGTCTTGTCTCTCTATGCTCAACCACACCTGACGAGGGTTATTCTCTTGACCGTGATGAACATGGTCCTTATGTTGAGTTATGTTTTACCCCAGAAATGTCAACGGTAGTGTTGGCTCAGACTCAACTTGCACAGCTCGACACTGGTATGGTCGCAGCGATGAGAGTATACGTCTCCTCGGCTGTTAAACGTGCTGTGGTAGTTAAGGAAGACGACCTACTCACCAAAGCCGACATAGCAGCACACCCTTAAGAGGTTAGTGAAGATTTGTACACCGAACTCGAGATCTGGCTTGATAACCGGTGCTTTGAGATGTATGACCTATCTAAAGCTTCCAACATCATGACACCCAGGTATGTATATATGTGGAAGTTTGTGAAGGTAGGTACCGAGAACGTTAAAACCATCCGTCTCAGACTTGTCCTTCGTGGATTGATGGACACTGAGGCGTTCGATGTGGAAACCTTCTCAGGAACTGCTCGAAGGCAGTCCCAGAGGCTCCTGGCAAGTGAGGCGGCATGCCATCCAGAGTGGATCTTAGCATCCATGGATATCGACAAAGCGTTCCTCAAGGGTTTGACCTATGAGGAACTCGCTCATGCCATCGGCGAGGAAACTCGCATGGTTTGCTTCACTCTTCCACCAGGAAGCGCCCAGGCACTTCGTGCACTGCCCGGCTTCTCGCCCTACGATGAAAGCCGACGCTGCCTCAGTTGCCTCAAGCCAGGGGCGGGTGCAAAGGACGCCCCACGGGCGTTCTCCCTCAAGCTTGGTACGACCACGCGAGCTATAGGCCTTACACCGACAAGTTATGATCCTGAATTTGAATTCAGTCAAGATTTGTTAACAGCAAAACATGTTGACGGCATCAATATGACAGGCCTAGAGAAAATATAGACGACCATGTCCAACGTGTCGAAAAAGGTGATGGTAAATGCAAGCTTAACAAACATTCCTATACGAACTGCGCCGTTCGCTACACCAAGAATGACCCAGGGGATGTGATCGTGGACCAGGACGAGTACATTAAACAACTACGTCCTATCACACACCCCGAACTCACAGGAGCGGCGGCCGACGCCAAAGCCACCAAACTCATCGCCGACATGTTCGTCAGCCTGCGAGGGGCCCTCGCCTATGCCCTTCTTACTCAAGTCTGGCCCATGGTGCATGTGGTCTCTCTTGAGAAAATCCAAGAGCCCACCAACCTACAAGTCAGACCACTGAATGCTGTGACGCGAAAGCTGATCAGCAGCCCGGAGCGCATCACCTTCCCTCGGATGAAACCGACGAGCGAAGTTGACATACACAGTGATTCGGGGTATCGGAAGGGCTACGGCATACGCGGGGCCAACGTACTACGGCGAGGAAACTCGCCTCTAGGCAAACCCGTCGTTCACCTGTGTGACGGACTATGTAAATCACATCGACTGCAGGTGAGGTCCAGCTATGCCGCTGAGGCACTTGCAGCTGCACACAACCTTGATGAGTGCTACCCTACGCTCGTCACTCTCCACGAGCTCAAGGCAGGGGCTCTGACTCCACGACAACTACGAGATATGCGTGAAGTTGGAGGCCTAGCTATTAAAGTATCCCTTACCATAGACGCTGAGTCGGTATACAAATCGTCATCCAGCAAAGATCTCAAGATACGGAACGGACTTTGCTGGGACATATCAGTTGGATACGTGAGCTCATGGACATAGGTATAGCGCATAATGTGCAGTGGTGTCATACCAGAGATATGACCGCATATGGGCATACAAAGGGGAGTATCCATCGGGGGCTGCTTTTGGAAGTGATGTCAGGCAATCAGTGATTTAAGTATGAGGTGAAGCAGTTTGTTCCCTTTCGGGACCCCGAGGACAGAAACAAGCTCAAGTCTAATCAATTTTAGTATGTCCTTGTTGCCCCCGCTGTCCAGTTTGCCAGCATGGGCGCCTAATGCAGAGGCGCCCTCCTAGGTGCTCGGAAACGAGCCTACCATTTCACGCTTGGCAACGAGCCTGTTCGGTTTGGTTCAGTCTCTTTGCCGTAATATCCGTTTGCTCGGAGAGGTATAGCCCGTTTGGCTTACCTCTAGCTGGGCCGATAGCCTTTTGACGTCCAAGGGGCTATCTCGTATTTGCGTGAAATGCTTTGCGAGGGAACTCGCCTTACAGTCTGGTGTCAGGCCAGACTGTGCGCACTCTTGCAAAACAGTCGTGCGCGCGGCCTTTGTAGAGCCTAACGGCTGCGCGGCTATACTCTCCGTCTCCTCCCCCCCCGACTTTAAGGGTAGCTCTTTGGGAGATGTTATATAGAATCGGGAGTATAGCTCGCGCGCCGTTGCCTTTGGCTCAAGGCACGCGCGCCCTATTTGCCCGGACACTGCTTGTGTTCGCTATGTGCTGGAAAGGTCACTACATCGATCTTATCCTATCTTATCCGTCCATTCCTCTTACTGAACAACCTCAGTACGATACCGGACGCTATTTGCCATCCGCTTCCCATGGAATCGGATGCTATTTGACTTACCATAGTCACTTCAGACTCCATGCGCGAGCGATTGCGTACCAAGTTCGCCAGCACCTCGGTCACAGCTTGCTTGCATCTATCGAAGTTGATGGTAATCGCGCGCCGCGAGAAGCGGCCCTGAATCCTGTCAGACACCAAATTCGGATGAGCCTGTGCGGGGTATAGGTTCCCAGGTCAGGTGTCGCACTTGTGGAGGCAGTTCGCTATGGAGAATGGCGTCCAGGTTTTTCAGATACCCCTTGCCACCAGGGCCTTTTTAGGGGAATGATCATGGTGCCCACGAAGAGCACAGCCAACGGCATAGATTTGCATAGCCCCCATACCTTGGCGTATCACAAGGAGTTCGGGAGCACTGTCTGTCTTGCCTGTGGTTGTGTAGCCACCCAAGTGGTCAGGAAGTTGAGTGAGCAATGCTCAGTGCTTTTGAATAAATATGGCAAGCAGCAGTTGAGGAGAGTGCAGCAAGGCCTGCCACCAGGAACCTCAAAACTTGCCAAGCGCCAAGTGGCCCAGAAGAAGATCCTGCGATAAACCTGTTCAACTCTGCCTGAGGCTGGAAGTAACAAAAAGGTTCATTTCCCCCAAAACCGTTTGAATACCCTGAAGCATGCCAGAACATTATTCTGGGGACTCTAACGCCACGGATCAGCCTGACTGTTGCGTCTTGACGATCCGGAGTCGTGCCAGAACGCTATCCTTGGGACTTCAATACAGCGAAGCATCGTAACTGTTACGCCGTCATAATCATATGCTTTTCCAAGACACAGTTGTTGGTACGTTGGCCATGGGAAACCGTGCAGCTCTTGCAATGTTTAAAAAGGAATGTGCGCGGCACTAATGAGATAATCATTTATTGAAAAGGAGCAGCCCTCAATCCGTGAAGCTCTTGCAATCCGTATCCATTTTGGCTCAAGGCAGTACTCGCAGTAAGTTTGTTGGCGCCAGCGGCAGCGCGATCCTTCCAGGTCTTATTGCGCAACCTAATTCTCATCGCGTGTCGCTGACGAGCCATGGGAAGTGTCCTCGGCAAGTGTTGCAAGTTCCTTGGGTCGGCCACGGAGTCGACGCAGCAGGGGCCCACGGCAGACCCAACCGGTCCCGCAGCAGACGCTGCTGCAATTGTGGCTGATCACGCAGGGATTTCCGACCCGTCCGAGATCACATGGGAGGTGGCCACGAAGATGAAGGAGTGCCTGGAGGATTACCCCAACATCATCCAGTTTGACAGCTCCACGCTGCAAGCGTCTGTCAATGTGGTTGCAGATGTTCTCCAGGGAGCGAACCTACGCATCAGCCTCGCGGCCCCGATCGAGCTGGTCTGCCGGGCCGTGGCGAACACCGCCATCAAGGTGACTGACGGCACGGACGTCGGAGAGGTTCTGAGCAAAGTTATGCAGAGCCAGCAGAACATTATCCAGAGAGACGTCGAGGCCTTGCGCGAGATGCATCTGAAGAGTGCCATGGACGAGATCGAGATGCTGGCCGCAATGAGCAAGACGTTGGTGGAGCTCAAGGCGGAAGGGTCCTCAAAATTTGAGAATGAGCTCACGTTCTACGTTCAGAGAGCGCTCTCGGCAGAAGGGCACGCGAGGGACGCGTTCAACGTTGCAGAGGGTAAGCTGGACGAGAAGGTCCGCGCAACGACGCTGATGGCGTCGGCGATGATGGCTCAGACCTTGGACCCGAAGCGGGAGAGTCGAGTCATCGCCGACCAGCTGACCCATGCCCTGAAGAAGCTCTTCAACGACGAGGACATGCAGGTGCTGATCGGCCAGGAGTGCGGGTCATGGAACAAGGTGCTGTGCTTCAGGGAGAGGCGGCAGCGTCGCCTCCGGGAAGCTTTCCAATGCCTGGTCCACGTCGAGGGATGGATCGCGCAGCACGCTCCGGGGCGGCAAACCGTCCTGAGCAGCTTGGACAAGCCCTTTGACATGAATCGCATCGTCCAGCATGGCATCCTCGACCCGCAGGGCAGCACAGTGGGCGCACTCGCTCGCCTGGCCGGCGGGGAGGAGTACAGCGACATGGAGCTCGGCATATTGCAGAGCTACTGCGGGCAAAGGCCGAAGAAGCAGGCGGCGACAGCTCTCTCGAGCCAGGACGGCGTCCTCTCGAACTCCTGCGACTGCACCCTGAAGCTGTGGGAGCTCTCCACGGGGAGGTGCCTCCGGACCCTCGAGGGCCACACGAACGGTGATGTGCGTCATGGGCGAGGACGGACCCTGAAGCTGTGGGAGCGTCACGGCGCTGGGCGGAGGACGGCGCCCTCTCGGGCTCCTGCGACAAGACCCTGAAGCTGTGGGAGCTCTCCACGGGGAGGTGCCTCCGGACCCTCGAGGGCCACACGAATACGGTGATGTGCGTCACGGCGCTGGGCGAGGACGGCGCCCTCTCGGGCTCCTGCGACAAGACCCTGAAGCTGTGGGAGCTCTCCACGGGGAGGTGCCTCCGGACCCTCGAGGGCCACACGAATACGGTGATGTGCGTCACGGCGCTGGGCGAGGACGGCGCCCTCTCGGGCTCCTGCGACAAGACCCTGAAGCTGTGGGAGCTCTCCACGGGGAGGTGCCTCCGGACCCTCGAGGGCCACACGAATACGGTGATGTGCGTCACGGCGCTGGGCGAGGACGGCGCCCTCTCGGGCTCCCACGACAAGACCCTGAAGCTGTGGGAGCTCTCCACGGGGAGGTGCCTCCGGACCCTCGAGGGCCACACGGACGCGGTGATGTGCGTCACGGCGCTGGGCGAGGACGGCGCCCTCTCGGGCTCCTGGGACAAGACCCTGAAGCTGTGGGAGCCCTCCACGGGGAGGTGCCTCCGGACCCTCGAGGGCCACACGGACGCGGTGAGGTGCGTCACCGCGCTGGGCTGGTTCCTGGCACGCGACGCGTAGGGACGGATCCTTGATCCGCCGCCGCTTTTTCGTGAGCTCCGCCGTCGCGCCCTGGCGGTGCGTTTTTTCCCCCCTGACCACCTCGGCCAGGGTGCTTCTGGCTGTAACCCTCTAGCCGGACTCCCACGTCGAGGACTCTTGGGAGGGAACATTTTGAGTGAATTGATTTATTGCATTGTGGCTGCGTTGCCGTGACGTCGGCAATTTCATCCTGGGCAGTACGTAATGTTGCACGGTGCGTGAGGCATAGTGTAGCGCGGTATTGCGCATACAGGAAAAACATCGTGAAGCTCTTGCAAATGTTTGGAACGAGTGTGCGCGGCGCTAAGGCGAGAGCCACATTTTGAAAAGGAATTGCCTTCAGTGTGTGACACTCTTGCAATTGTTAAAACGAGCGCGCGCGGCGCTCAGGCGGTAACCACATTTTGAAATCGACCCTCCCTCAATCGGTGAACATGTCGCCATTTTTCAAGCGTCAGGGTCATACATGGTAAGGAAGTCTCAGGGGAATCGCCCGGCCCACCCTTTCGACCAGCCTCGGGGTGGGACAGGGAGACATTTTTTATGGGGAAAAGGCATGGAAAAAAGGAGGAGGAGGTGAGGAGGAGGAGGAGGAGGAGGAGGAGGAGGAGGAGGAGGAGGAGGGCGAGGCACCGATACCGCCGTCCTTCCCTGGTTTTCCTTTCTTTGGGGGGCCTCCTGGGAGGCCTTCGGCAGAGGCTTCTCAGAGGAAAAGAAGGCACTGATACCGCTACCCTTTCCTTGTTTCCTTTTTTTGAGGGACTCTCCTCCGGGACCCTCGGCCGAGGCGTCTCAGAGGAGGAGGAGGAGGAGGAGGAGGAGGAGGAGGAGGTAGGAGGAGGAGGTGAGGAGGAGGGGAAAGAGGGATGGAGGAGGAGGGGAGGAGGAAGAAGAGGGAGAGAAGGAAAAGAGAAGGAGGGGGAGGAGGATGAGGAGGAAGAGGAGAGAGAGGAGGAGTGGAGGGAGGAGGAGGAGGAGGGGAGGAGGAGGAGAGGAGGAGGAGGAGGAGGAGGAGGGGGAGACACCGATACCGCCATCCTTCCCTTGTTGTCTTTTTTGGGGGGCCTCCTGGGAGGCCTTCGGCAGAGGCTTCTCAAAGGAGGGAAAAGCACCGATACCGCTAACCTTTCTTTATTTCCTTTTGTTCGGGAGTCTTCTCAGGGACCCTCGGCCGAGGCGTCCCAGAGGAGGAGAGGAGGAGGAGGCAGGAGGGGAGGAGGAGGAGGATGTGAGGAGGACGAGGAGGAGAGGAGGAGGTGGGAGGAGGAGAGATGAGGAAGTAGAAGGAGGAGAGGCGGATGAGGAGGAGGAGGAGGAGGTGGAGGAGGAGGATGAGGAAGAGGAGAAGGAGGAGGAGGGAGGAGGAGGAGAGGAGGAGAGGAGAGGAGGAGGAGGAGGAGGAGGAGGAGGAGGGGGAGGCACCGATACCGCCATCCTTCCCTGGTTTTCCTTTTTGGGGGGCCTCCTGGGAGGCCTTCGGCAGAGGCTTCTCAAAGGAGGGAAAAGCACCGATACCGCTACCCTTTCTTTATTTCCTTTTGTTCGGGACTCTCCTCAGGGACCCTCGGCCGAGGCGTCTCAGAGGAGGAGGAGGAGGAGGAGGAGGAAGAGGAGGAGGAGGAGGAGGAGGAGGAGAAGGAGGCACCGATTCGGCTGCCCTTCCTTCGTTCTCCCCTTCTTGGGGCCTCCTGGGGGGGGCGCCACGGCAGGATTCGCCTCGAGATCCTGGTCGCAGCGCACCCTGGAAGAGGTCCGGAGGAGTAGCGGTAGCGGTGCCTTTGGTTTTGCCCAGGTTCGCCACGTGGCCGCCTCGTGGCCGCCTCGGTGCCGCAGGCCCACGCGAGGAGTCTGCTGGCCTGGCGGTCACCGCGCTTGGGGGGCAGCTTGCACCACAGAGGTAGCAGTCGGGAATTTTTGGATGGCGTGCCCACAGATCCAACGTACTGAAAAAATCAAGACGGAGGTTTTTCGCTAGTTTCGGCCCCTAGGGGCTCTCGCCGGGCGCCGGGACCGTCAACAAACGATTCAGGACGACGAACCGGTTCTGGGGAATGGGTCGAGATTTGGGCGCTGCGTAATGGGGGGGTCATAAATGGGGGGGTGGCGAGGGTGGTTCGAAAAGGTACCCAAACGGTACGTAAACGAGCCCCCTGGGGCTCCCGAGGGGCCCGAAAGGGGCACGAAAGGGGACCTTTTCTGACCCCCCCATTTGTGACCCCCCCATTAAGCCACGGCCAAGAGATTTCCCGGGACCCGTCTTGAAGCAATCACGGCATCGGCTCTCTGGGTGCTTCTCCGCCGGTTCTGGCCCACCCCGCTTCGGGGCGGCACGCTATCGGCTTCCGAGCTCCCGAGACCCGAATCATCAGGGGTAACTCGGGTCAAGGCTAACTCGGGTTCGTTTCTCGGGAATCCGAACCCGAGTTACCCCGGGCCCGAGTTACCCCGGATCTCGGGCGTCCAGAGCCCCAGATCATCAGGGGTAATTCGGGTCAGGGCTAACTCGGGTTCGTTTTTCGGGAATCCAAGCCCGAGTTACCCCGGGCCCGAGTTACCCCGGATAACTCGGGCGCCCAAGAGTTCCCAGGCGTCAACGTCCAGAGCCCTCCGAGTTTCCCGCCCCGCGGAGTGGACCGACGCGCTGTCCGCTCGCACGGCGCAGCGTGTCGCCGGGGCTGCCGGGGCGACACGCTACGCCACGTACACAGCATAACTTGCACCACGCAGGTTCTACCTTACAGCTTACACATCCACAGTGCAACAACTTGCTGTGTTGGGTCCACGCCGGCTAGCGTGTAGTTGTTCAGCATTTGGTTTAAGGAGGTAGGTTAATATTGGTGACTTGGGTCAAAGAGGTGGCTGCTCTCCTCCGCGCCACGGCGAAATTATCCCCTGCCCTTGTCGTGACCATACCCCGCACGGGGATCCGTATCCGCATCCGTTCCAAG